CTCTTAGTCATTATTAAGTTTCGATGTTTGACAATGTATAGATGTTTAACATGAAATAGAACCTATCAATGTCTGGAAAGCATCATATATAAAACATGTAAAACATGAAGTGGAAATAACCATTTGTGCGCATCGGTGAAAAAGAACTTAGTGGAGATGAAAACACACCAGGCCGTTATACCTGGCGGCTGCACATCACTCCAACAGCCACTAGATGTGTCCTTGAATAAACCTTTTAAGATGAACATTTGGAAAAAGTGGGCAGAATGGAGACGAAAACACACCAGGCCGTTATACCTGGCGGCTGCACATCACTCCAACAGCCACTAGATGTGTCCTTGAATAAACCTTTTAAGATGAATGTTACGGCCAAAACTGTATTTATTTTGAATTTTTTGTTTTGTGGGTTTATATGAAATATGTTATGGTTGACAGAAACGCCTATTCTTTTGTTTGTCGTTAAATATTTTAGCGGGTTGCATTTAGTGGTGTCAAGGGGAGATAACTTTGGGTAGCGATGTGATTCGTGATTCGCGTTTCAGAGAGAAGATGGTCCACAAACGGTACGAGTAACTTTTACATTTTCTGCTTGTCAACACTTTGTGTTATATGTAATGAAGCTATCAGCAGCATTTCTGCAATATGAATTAATGATATTTCTGTGTATCCCACGTTTTCAATACTGTTTGCTGCATTCAAAACTCGGTCGCTTTGCACGAGTTCTAAAAATAGATTTTCTCAGGTTTTCGTTTGTTTGGGCTTTCAAAGTCATTAATTTAACAATTAATAAGGTTTTTTTACTGAAATAGTAGTCCTGTAAGTTGACTAACATTATTCATCACTGCAGGTAGTTAGAAATGTAAAACTTTGTCAAAAGTGTATCTTTATTGATGAAGTTGAGAATGTTAATGCTGCGATACTGATAACATTATATGGAACTATAGATTCCCTTATTTCTTTATTGCAGTCAATCTATAGCAAGGACACTTGCGTTGAATTGACCCGAGTCTGCTTACAAATCCAAATATTGACGTTTCAATATGAATATGAATCTTGATGAACTTGAGAGAAAAGAATAAAAGCAATTCGTTGAACTACAACTATTGACCTTTCATTATGAATTTGAACCAGAGAGAGAGAGAGACAGAAATTAATGAAACTGATTCAAAGAACTACAATGAACATTCGGAAAAAGTGGGCAGAATGGATGGTAGATGGAGAGCATACATTCACTAAATTCAACGCCATGAGGAGAGCGCCTCTACATGAAGTCACAAGATGGGTGAAAGAGTCATGGGATGAGATCCCAACCGACATGGTGGTCAACTCCTTGCTAAAGTGTGGCATTTCTAATGCAATGGATGGCTCACAGGACGAGGCCTTGTTTGAAGAGTTCATAACAACTGAATCCAGAGCTGATGAAGACGACATCCTTGGATGTGAGAACCTTGAAGACTACTATGATGACGAGACAAATGAATTGGCGTGGCAGGCACTGGCTGGGGAAGACCGTGACACGGAGTGTGGATTCACTGCTGACGATTTGTAAATTACTGGTACACAATCTTGTGTATAGATGGGAATGTTCATGGAATGTTATTATTATCATAACTTATCATATCTTATAAATACAATAAATGAATAAGTCGAGCTCTTTTACATGTCCAACAAAGATCAAACAATTAAGGTAATTAAAGATTAAATATTTTAGTTTTGAAGCCTGTTAAATGCCCTTTATAAAGATCTCTCTGAAATTTTCTTTATCAAAATGGCAAATGCGCAATCCAGGACATCAAACCAACAACAACGTCGAGGGATGGAACCACAAGATAAACATTCTTGCCAGAAAGAGCCATCCGAACATTTTTGAGGTCGTCAAACTGTTCCAGCGAGAACAGTCCAATGTGGACGACTCGTCAACATCATCGGTGTCCTGGACTACACTGATCGCGTCGCTGACCTGATCCACCTCCTCACGATCAATCAATGTGACTGATCGGTGAACAGTCTGTGGCTCAAACTTTTGTTATTTAGTTTTTAAACTTCTACTATGACTACGGTATCAGACAATGACTCACATTTCTTTGTTTTTCTTGTGTATTCAGAGTCCCGGGAACGCTAAATTCAGTGTTCGCTGTAGCTTGACCGTTCCCGCGAAAGCGTCACCTAAATAGAGGAGGTTTGGTCCAGATTTCACTTTCCTGGGCCATAACCCCCATTTAACAACCGACTGTTACAAAGTGCATGGTGAATCTGCTTCTGTGTCATTAGATACTGTGAGTGAAGGCAGGCAATCTCTTCAGGAAGTCCTAGTCGATTTCAATCCTTTTGACATTTTCAATTGTGATGAGGCTGGATTATCTTACAAAATTGAGCCAGATTCTACATTGTTCCCTGGTCCGGTTTCTGGTAAGAAACAGTCTAAAGCTTGCCTGACTAATGCTGACAGTAAATGCAACAGGCACGGAAAAGCTGAATCCACTTGTGATTCATAAATTCAATCGGCCAAGATGTTTTGGAAGAACATTTAACCCCACATCTTTTTGTCAATGGTAAGTAAACCAGAGACCATATACCGAGGACAGGCCTCAGCAGTACTTTATCATGAACCATCACTGTCGCGATAATGAGTGCAAACGATACCCCGTGAACCCCTGCAATGTTTTCCCTGGCTGTGGTCCAGATGCGTAGCACATGCGCAGATGCCCTCAGCACTGGACTTCTGTAGTCAGGTGAAACATATTACGCAATGGTTTAGTGTCAAGAGTTAATTCCCTTCATCCCCGCGCAGATGCACATGTAGACTATTTACACTTCTGGCTTTTCCGTAAACAATTTTTTTGCTGTCGGATGTACGTCCCTTTATAAGGGAAAAACGAACATGTTACTTCACCATTATCTTCGATATGGACGACTTTATTCACTGGGACGATTCTGATTTGGATTTAGACTTACTACTCGGCGAATATACAGATTATGACACTAAACGTCTGAGTGAGGAGGATTGCTTTGGCGGTGACAACATGTACTTTGACAGATGTGAAGATGACAAAGATCCGTCGACCACCTCTCCTAATCATCACGGGAAAGAGAATACATCGCAATATGCTTGTCCACTCTGCAGCAAAACCTACCGAGTATCGGGGGCTTTCGTGGTCATGTTACCAAGAAACACAACAGATCAGATATTAAAGGTAAGCATTCAATTTATTCCATGTATCAGAGTATATATATGTACCATATGAGGTACCGAAAACAATGTCTGATTTGTTAAATCAAATAATGATATGCTAATGTCTTAAGGCATCTCCATATTTACAAAATTTACACAATTTTAACACATTTCTTCCAACAGTGACACTGATCATAAATTGATCAAACTATACACATTTCTCAGATAAGTACATGTAGTTTCACCCCGGTTGTCACCATTAGCATGTGTTCACTTCACATTAGTGAAAACAATAATATATTTGAATGATTGATCTCAGGCCACCATTTCTTACCGGTAATTCCATTATTTCCTTCATATTAACTGTATACCTCAGCAACTGCCATGAATTAACATACTTTCTCTTAAATTTCACACAAATTATATATTGACTATCTGTGGTGAAGTCCGATCAAACTCTCACATTAATGCTATGTCATCAGTCAATATGCATCACTTGTACATGTCAATATTATTTTTCATTTTAGCACATGAACATCGACTGGGCTCCACTGTCAAAAACAAAGACAACCCCCCTTCAGCAGACAGGACGGATACTCACAGTAAAGAGGAAAACACCCCAGTTTTCTTGCCAACAGATGCCGACATGCGGGGTATTCTCACAGAAGTCCTACCAAAGTCTTTTTCAACAATAATCCTTGACCCTATGAACGACGCTTCATGTTCATTGAATGGCCCTCATCTTATTGCTGTTGCAAAAGAATGCAGTGACAGACCAACAGTTCATAGAACTCTAGTATCAGTTCTGAACCCGGAATTCCATTCAGTTTTTGACAAGTTTGGAAAAGGTTGTTCACTTCCGTCAGACAGAACACTTATGGATGAAATTTCATCAGATGCGACTTAATGAAGACTTACAATCAGACATGCACAACATTTTGGTCGAAGTGACAAGTGAATCACACAGGATTATCCACATCTTTGCACAGTGCTTGTTGGATCGCATCTTGAGGAACATGCTAAAGCACCTGTCAGAATCCATTCAGAAACAGTCGCATCAAACAGCATCAGTAATCAGTGACAATGACCAGGTGAAGAAAAAGGCTATCTTTGGAATGGATATAGAGCAACACCTTGGAGAACTCTTTTTAATTTCTGATGCATCTTCCAAAGAAGAGTACATTGTCAGGTTTAGTAAGTGGACAGAGAAAATGAACAGAGGGGGTCTAAAATTCCCAAGTGACAATTTCTTTCTACTTATAAGGTCATTTGAAATTGAAATTAGAAAGCATGTTCAACTTTCTCAGTTGTGCGCCTCCTTTCTCTTATATGATAAACTTAAAGAGACAATAATGACAAGCTACATGGTCTCCTACTACTGGGACAAATTACTCTCCTGTGAGGATGGACTGAAGCTCAAAGTCTTGGAGTTCTTTGTGGACTTATTTCTCCGTGTACGTGGAGGTGCTGTAGCTAAATACTCAAAACGTCAGCTACAGAAGGAAATGAGGGGGTCTAAGAATCGCAAAGGAGTTAAAAGGATCAGATCGCTCAGGGGAACATTAAAGGTACATGGAAACACAAACTAGATTGTACTGTGAGAATTATGTATTTACAATAACTGTTCTGAGATTATTGAAACACCTGATGCTGAGTCGCTGTACCACAATTTAACCTTTCAATGTAAATAATACGGTAATAAATTTAAAGCCCGAACAATATTCATTCAAATTTGTTTTGATATTGAAAATCGCTGATTTTAACTAAAGGATAATTGCTAAGCGATATCCTAAAACGTTTCAGCGTGGGCTAGTGTTTTTCACATTGTAAAAAAAACATAAGATAAAAGCATATTATTTTTCATATCAATGCATACAGAAAAGAGTGCTGAATGCAAAAATATAAGTGACATTCTCATGGAGCGATTTATTACTAAAACCAGCGTACCACAAGATATAGCATAATCACATGTTTTCAGTATGACGAAATAACAGGGTTGCAATTACAGATACACTTTCATTGCCGATTTTAACAGAATACAAAACAAAACTACGAAATAATGTACACTGCGTGAAAAAGAAATAACCGATCGTCCAATACAACCCGGTAACTAAGGACTTTGCTAACGTTTCACTTGACAAGATGTACTGGAAAAATGTCTTTTTCCACGATTTCGCCGAAGGAAGCCATTTTGTTTGTCCACAACAAAGGGGATCACCACAGTGCATGGTATATTCCTTTCGAAGATACTATGTGCTCCATACATTTGTCAGATACTTACAATGTATGGTTGTCATCCCTTACAAAATCAAATGAAAGTAGTTAAACTTACCGTGGATGATATAGATGAAGGTAAAAACACCGATGTGAGCCTTCTCGCAGATCTCGCAAAGCCTCGCAGCAGTAATCAGTTCCTAATTAGCTCTGAGGCCCGTCCCTCGGTATATGGTCTCTGCGTAAACAAACGAGCATGGATGACATCCTAAATTTCCCGAGATTGGCCTATCAACTTTGACCAACAAATGAGAATGCAGAGACATCACGTGATCCTGCTGTTGGATAATACCCCTCCCATGCTACTTGTCAGTAAACTAATGTTACGTGTCACTTTCTGCTGCCTAATACAACTTCACACATTCAGCTACTCGATGCTGGCATATCAAAAACTTCAAACTCCTGTACTAGAAACAACAAATGAAGCTCTATCTGGACAATACTCAAAATGAAACTCGATTTCCGCATTAAAGCACATAGTCACATGGCTCCTAATTTGCACCAACTATGTACATTGGTCATTTGGAATTGCCAAAATACAAAGAGACTAAGTATTATTGGCTGAAAGTTGTGTTGAATATTCCAAATGTATATATAGAGAGGAATTTCACCTGAGAAAAAATTCAGCCTGATTACAAGGTTGGAGGCATTTGCACCTCCAACCAATAAGTTCAGATCATTATTGTTTAATGTTATGTCTGTGTGTATAAATATCTGATATAAGCATGTATTATGCAGAATAAGCATGGTATATTGTAAAATAAGGCCAGACCAATTTCATTTCTTGTTTTACAGATTGTTTTCCTCAGAAAACCTAAAGGCAGGAGGAAAAAATAAAAATAAAAAATCACCAGTCAAAGTAATATTCCTTTTAAATACTAAAAGTATGTTACTTTTGGCAATCCATAAAGTATATATGGAGCAAAAAACAATCTAAATACATTTTCTTGCACATTTACATTTTTGGCCAATAAAAATATTAAAAACATTTTTTTGAGCGGGGAAATGTTTTGTTTTTGTTTTTTCTTATTCTTGGAAAAATACGACCGGCGGATATGTAAAACAAGAAATAAAATTGGTCTGGCCTTAAGTGACTATATCTGTATTACCCTTTATGTTCTGATTGAAATGTACCCTTGAGACGACCCCCTGCCTTTTTAAAACAGCGGCATGGTTAATCTACTGTGATGATGGTAGAGTGCCTGCATCCTGAGACTTAACCAACTCTGTGTCTCTGTGATGTGTGTGTGTGTGTGTGTGTGTGTGTGTGCATGGCAAATTCACATGTTAATTTCCTTAAGTAAAGGAATTCACTAAGTAGCTTATAAGTACAAGATGAATTTGCTTGATGTCAGTGCAGTTATGACAAATGCATCGGTTCCTCGTTTCGTTCCTAACAGTCGCAGAGGTCAATATTTAGTTTACTTTAGTTACAAATTTTGTATTAAGTCTAGAAATGGTGATAGAGTCCACTGGAAATGTCAGAAGACTTGTTGCTGCTACATCAACACACAGAACAACCTCATGACAATGTACAATAATTCCCACAACCATACAGCTGACAATGACAAGATCTAGGCGATGAATTCATCATTCATCTGAAGTGAGTGTGATAGTTTAGTTTTACGCTGCTTTTAGCAATATTCCAGCAATATCACGGCGGGGGACACCAGAAATGGGCTTCACACATTGTATCCATGTGGGGAATCAAACCCAGGTCTTGGCATGACGAGCGAAGGCTTTAACCACTAGACTACCCCACCCCCCCCTCATCTGAAGAATCAAGAAATAACAAGTAATTATTTGTGTAATGCATCTACAGCATAAATTTAAAGGTGCATTAAAAATAACTCATATATTAAATTTAAATATGTTTCTTAGTTTATATAAATACTTAACTTCAAACATACGTGTATGTTCATCTTTAAATTGAATTTTTTCTTACATGAATTTATGTGATTGTGTAGCCGTGTGATATTTCATTCTGCTAAAACAGAAAGTGTGGTATTTTGTACATAGTTTGGGCATATGTCAGTTCATATTTTATTTTATTAAAAAAATAAAAAACATAAAATAAATAAACCAAAAAACAAACTACCTTTTTATAAAATATTAAAATTACCTGAGGTGCCATGTGGGTGCTGTAATAGCAGTCATGTCATGTCATGTCATTGTCTGGTCTTGATTGTTTACTAACACTGGTCACCATCTTGGTTCCTCGGTTCTTCCAATTTTCACCCTCTTCTTTTTCTGAATTGGGAATCATCCCAATTCACTTCAATTCTTCTTTTCTATAAGTAGACTCACCTTATTGCCACTTACCTGCCACTGATTGGTTTCTTATGCCAAACAATTCTCTTCTTGGCTGTGATTGGCCCTATTGGTTTGCCATAGTTTTCTTGTTGCTCACCTGTAGATTGTTCCTCAGTGTGTGTACCTGTCCCTCACTGAGAGACATTCTCCTTCTATATGCAGGCAGGTGCACACAGTCATTTCACCATCCACAATAAAGACATTCATAGTTGGCCCTGGTTGACTCTTGTATGTGCAGCGTCGTTCAGAGACACGAGTATTATACCCCTGGACCACGGTCTCATTTGGCGCCTGAACAGGGACGACGCTTGTCTTCACGATGTCCAATACAGCCAACATTGGGTGGTGAATTCCATTTGACGTTTTAATTCATCTGTGATTGTCAACATGCCATGCTGTGATATACCACACACCATTTCTTTTGCTTGCTGCAATGTGGTATTTGTGATTTGCCACATGTGATGTAGTCCTTGATACTTCTGTTTCTGGATTATTTCTGCAAGGACCTGTGATAAATGACTATATTAATGCGCTGTGATACTTGTGATATTTGACATTAACATTTCCAGTGCAATAGACAAAATGACGGAACTCACTTGGACGAAATGGATTTGCATGTTGAAATAATCAATGCATTGTCTCTTTAAATGATAATTTATTTTGGGTTGATTGTCATGTGTGTTTGTATAAATTGTATATAGTTGAACTTCATTTTGTTTGAATGTTTGTGTGGCCACTTCGCGTGCGGTAACATTGACACTTCGCGTCAGGTAAACATCGCAGCTCGCTACTTCGCGTCTTGTATACATCGATACTATTTCTCTATAAAACTGTCCAAACATGTGCTTGCTAATCAATTGTCTTCGATAGCTTGCCATTACTGTTTGTTGCTTGTATTTAGCTGTTTACCTTTGATATTTATCGTTGAGGTTGTTCTTCTTGCACTGTGACCTCACTTTATTCCAACACGTGGTGGTTGTACTGCCCTACGGTAGTTACGTCCCTTTGTGGAAATAGTTATAAAACTAGGCAAGGCTAACTAAAATGGAAAGTAAGTTATAAATTTGGGATTTTGTGAAACAAAACTGAAATAGGAATTAAACTAGGTCATTAGTATAAATAACTGTTTTTTATTTAATTGAATTAAATTAAATTTGATTTAAATTCAGTTAAAACTAAACTTAATAAAATATAAAGCAATTACAGTTCTTTATCTTTATTCTTTAACTTTACAGCTATCCACTTTGTCTATCCTTTAAAATAATACTAACTTTTGTTGTTGTGTTGTCTTTTCATCATCATCGTCTTAGTAGTGAAGAAAGAAAAAAATAGAATATAAAAGTGGTAAGTTATTAGTTACATTTGCCTTGTTGTACATTTGGGGTTAGTTAAATTGTATTTTGGGTTCACACTGAATTTATTTCAGTTTGAACAACTTGGTTGGTTGAATTGTATTTTGGTTCACACTGAACATTTCAGTTTGAACAACTTGGGTTTTGAATTTTGTCTTGAATTTTGTCTAGAAGTTTGTCTCTAGGGACTTGCTTCTTTGATTTTGTATTTTGAAATTGAAGTTGTTGATTTGGTCGGCAGTTCTTCTGCTTACTTTGTATTGTAGTGTTTGTTTAGTCATGGCTTCTGGTGGATTTGATATGACTACTTCACCTCCCAAGGGAGTGGAAGATCAGGTTGTGGATTTTATTCAGGGTTTGGAAGCGTCTATGCGTGCTCGTGTTATGCATCGGGTTACTGTAGGTACTCTGCTTGAGGGAGTTGGTAGATCGCCGCCTCGTCCTTACCCGGTTGAGTTGGAAACGGAGGGAAGGTATTCACTCCCTAGACCTCAGTCTCCGAGGCCTCCACTGCAGACATTTTCTACTCCAGTTTTTCCAGATACGTTGGGGGTAGTAGGTCATAGTACACAGACACATGATATTCCACTACAGTCAAACTTGGTGTCATCCTGTACACAAACTAGGCCATTTCCTTTGGATGATTATCCCTCTCAGTTTAGTGTTCTGAACCAGACAGGTAGAACCACCCTTCCTGCCTACACCACTTTAGGTGTGAAACTGTCTACCTTTTCGGGTGATGGTCTGAAGGGTGATGTGAAATACTCTCAATGGCGGAGGGAGATTAAAGGCTTACAAAATGAAGGATTATACTCTGATGTGTCAGTCCTTAATGCTATCGCCGTGCATGCCAGAGGAACAGCACTAGATCTTTTGAGTCAATTACCTCTGAATGTTACTCCTGATTGTGCTTTAGAACGGTTAGATCTGGTTTTCGGAGATGTTATGACTGGTGAAGCATTGATGGAAAGTTTCTATTCGGCTAGGCAGAATGCAACCGAGTCTGTCGCAAGTTGGAGTTGCAGGTTAAGTAACCTTATTACCGAAGTTGTTCAAAAGAAAACTTTGACTTCTGAAACAGCATCTAGACTTTTGCGTAACTGGTTTTGGATGGGTCTATATCAGCAAGATCTAAAGACAGCCACTCGACACTATTATGATTCAGCAATGGGATTTAATGATCTCCTGTTTTCAGTTCGAATGGTCGAAGGAGAATTGCCCTCTGTTGCTAAGGTGGAATCACAACCACTTGTTTCCAAAGAGGTTGGTAGTGTTGAAATTCTAGACCGACTTAAGGAGTTAACTAGTTGTATCAAGAGTCTGGATAGTCAGTTGGCTACGCTCGAGAGAAAGAAGGCTAGTGTTCCGTCTCCTCCATCAGTTAATGTTCAGCCACCTTTTGTTCCATCAGGTTCGGGTTCCCCTAAACAGAATGTTTCGAGGTCTGCTCCTACTGAAAATACTTTTGCACAACCTCCTTCTCAGAAGTCAATGTGGTCAGGCTATAGAGGTCCAGTAAAGTGTTTTGATTGTGGTGAGTTGGGACAAAAACGGGGTCATCCTAGGTGTTCTTTAAACAAGTAAGAATCCACGTAGAGGAGCGAACGTTGGATTCGGAGACAAGCTCCATTCATGTACCACATGGATTAGTAGGTGAGACAATGAGTCCATAGTAGATATTGAAGATCATGCATGTAGAGTTTTGGTTGACACAGGCTCAGGTGTTACAACTTTGTCAAAATCCTATTATGAGGAACATTTATCTCATTGTGAACTCAAACCGCTGAATAACATTTTGCAAATCAGTGGAGCTACTGGACATACTTTGCCGTATTTGGGTTACATTGAAGCAAATGTTAGCATTCCAAAAGAGTTTTTGGGAGACAAAGTTGTTATTTCCTCTCTGATTTTGGTTGTTCCCCCAACTGAGTTTAACACTCGTGTTCCTATGGTGTTGGGTACTAATGTTCTCAAGGCTGCTACTATCAATCTTGACTCTTCACTCAAGGATGTTTCTTGTCAGTCGTTGGCTTGGACGTTGGCTCGCCAGTGGTTTATAAACAGATCTGAGGCTCCGGGTAGGGTTGAAAATGTTCAGTCTACAAAGTCAATCACCGTTGAAGCTGGTTGTAATCAACTCATTACTGGTCTATGTCGTGTTGGGACTAAACCTCAACCTGGGATGCAATATTGTGCTTTTCCCTCTACATCATTACCAGGCTCTCTTAATTTAGTCTGTGGAGTTGTTGATGTGCCAGTAGGTCAGTCTACTTCAAGGGTTAAGATTGAGGTCACCAATCCATCGAATAGGTCAGTCACTATCCCAGGTCATACCATGCTTTGTCACTTAGAGCAAGTTGAAGTTATGGACCAACTCTCTATACCTGATGAACAGTCTTCAACCTCAAAAGATCTTTTTGATTTTGGGAAACTTAGTCAGACTTATACAGAGGAGGAAGTTGCTGAGTTCAAGTCTCTAATCAATGAGTTTGATGATCTGTTTAGCAAGTCTGATTTAGACATGGGTCGTACAGATTTGGTGCAACATCGAATTGACCTTACTGATACACCTTTTAGAGAAAGACATCGAAGAATTCCTCCATCAATGTACCAAGAGGTAAGAAATCACATCAAAGACATGCTTAGTGCTGATGTCATTCGTCCTTCTTCAAGTCCTTTTTGCTTCTCCTATTGTACTAGTTCGTAAGAGGGACTCTGGACTTAGGTTTTGTGCGGATTATCGCCGGTTGAATCGTAACACAGTTCGTGACTCTTACAGTCTGCCTCGAATAGAGGAGACACTTGATGCTTTGCATTGGGCTAAGTACTTTAGTTGTCTTGATTTGAAGTCAGGTTATTGGCAAGTAGAGGTTGCGGAGGAACATAAAGCCCGGACGGCCTTCACTGTTGGACCATTAGGCTTTTATGAGTTCAACTGTATGCCGTTCGGCCTTACTAATGCTCCTGCAACTTTTCAACGTCTCATGGAGAGGTGCATGGGGGGATCTTCACCTTTTACAGTGTTTGATCTATCTAGATGATATCATTGTTTTCAGTAAGACCTTCAAAGAACATATCAGTAGACTCAGAGCAGTTTTTGAAAGGTTAAGAAAACATGGTCTCAAGTTAAAGCCCTCAAAGTGTCAGTTTCTCCAGACGTCAGTTAAGTACTTGGGACATGAAATTTCAGAGACTGGTGTTCGTACTGATCCTGCAAAAATTGAGGTACTTAAGCAATGGCCAGTTCCCCAGAATGTTGATCAGATACGAAGTTTTCTTGGTTTCACCGGGTATTATCGCCGATTTGTCAAGGATTATGCTAAAATTGCCAGACCTTTGAATGATTTACTAGCCGGTACTTCTGGGAAAAAGAAATCGTTGATCCAGTTTGTTTGGGGAGAAGAACAACAAGCTGCTTTTGATACTCTGATTGATCTCTTGACACACGCACCAGTCTTAGCATATGCCGATTTCACTCAGCCTTTTGAGCTGCATATTGATGCCAGCGGAAGTGGTCTTGGTGCCATTCTTTATCAACAACAGGACAATGAGCGTAGAGTTATTGCGTATGCTAGTCGTGGATTGCCATGAGCAGAACGGCGCTATCCCGCACACAAAAGGGAATTCCTTGCATTGCATTGGGCAGTGGTGAAAAAGTTTCATGATTATCTCTATGGAAACCAGTTTGTAGTCAAAACAGACAATAATCCGCTGACGTATGTGTTGACTAAGGCTAAGCTAGATGCAGTGGGACACCGTTGGTTGGCTGCTTTAGCCACATATAGTTTTTCCATGGAATATGTACCTGGGTCCAAGAACATTGATGCTGATGCATTGTCAAGGTTGCCACGGGAAATTGTTGACATTGAAAGTGTCACTGCTATCTGTCAAGGTCATATGGTCTCGACCCCTGTTGTCGAAACCCTCTCTTTGAATGTAGATGTTTGTGATGCATTGACTGTCAGTGAATCTACATCATTGGGTCACTCTTCTCGAGGTATGAAAGAACATCAGAATGATGACGATTCTATTCGTTCTATTTTAGAACTTGTGCGGTTAGGTGTTCGTGTTCTCAAGAGACATTGCGGACAATGGATAAGGACACAGCTACAATCCTACGTCAATGGGATAATCTTGTTGTCAAAGATAGTGCCCTTCAACGTAAACAGATTTCCACAGATGGTGAGGTATATTATCAGTTGGTAGTTCCAAAATCTCAGCGTACGGAAGTTGTCACTAGTCTTCATGATGACATGGGTCACCTTGGGCGAGATCGTACCATTGCTCTTCTTCGTGCTAGGTTTTATTGGCCAGGAATGTTCCAGGATGTAGAAAGGAAGGTCAGTAGTTGTAGGAATTGTGTTTTGAGGAAAGCTCCTAATCAAGGAGAGCGTGCACCACTTGTCAACATTCATTCTTGTCAACCGATGGAACTAGTATGCATTGACTATCTCTCGTTGGAACCTTGTTCTGGAGGGTATGAGAATGTTTTGGTGATTACTGATCATTTTACCAAGTATGCTCTTGCGATTCCCACCAGGAATCAGACGGCCAAAACAACGGCTGAGGTTCTCTTTAATCACCTCATTGTGCACTATGGTGTTCCTGAAAAGCTACATTCGGATCAGGGTAGAAATTTTGAGAGTAGGACAATCAAGGAGTTGTGTCGCATACTTGGTATTCAGAAGACCAGAACCACTCCTTATCACCCCATGGGGAATGGTCTTTGTGAAAGGTTCAATCGTACGCTCCTAGGGATGCTGGGAACTTTGGAAAGTCAGGAAAAGGTAAAATGGAAGGATCATTTGGCACATTTGGTTCATGCTTATAACTGCACTGTCCATGATTCCACTGGATTTACTCCCTATTATCTTATGTTTGGGCATCACCCTCGGTTGCCTATTGACATTGTGTATGGTACTACATCCAACAATGTATCTTCAGAGACTCATACTCAGTTTGCTTCAGATATGCAGAGAAAGCTTTCCATTGCCTTTGATCTTGCTAGGAGAAATATTGAGAAAGCTCGGGAAAAACAACGAACTGCATATGACCTCAAAGCACGCGGAGCTACTGTTAAAGTTGGTGATATAGTTCTAGTTCGCAATGTTGGTGTTCGTGGTATGCAGAAATTAACCAATCGTTGGGAGGAAGACTTTTATGTTGTGGAGGCTCAGCCTAATCCAAGTTTACCAGTGTTTCAGGTTTGTAAGCAGGGATCACAATTAAGAAAAGTTCTTCACAGAAATCTGCTTCTTCCTATTGGGACGAATGGTAGACCTATTCCTAGACAAAGGTTGTCCACTTTTACAGACAGTGCTCATGATCCTAAGACTTCAGCACTCGACCTGAATGCTAGTAATGTCTCATTGGGGCCTGTTGAAAGTCGACAAAGTCATTCAAGTGATGAGTCTTTACCTCTTGATTCTTCCACTCTATTACCTGCACCACGGTTGGTGCGTGTTCGTCGAAAACCTGCATGGATGTCAGATGAACAGTGGATTGTAAATCACACAATTTGGGTTTAACTCGTATCTCTAGTCTGAGTATTGGTGTCGAGGACGTCACTTTCCTGAAAGGGGGGTGTGTGTAGCCGTGTGATATTTCATTCTGCTAAAACAGAAAGTGTTGTATTTTGTACATAGTTTGGGCATATGTCAGTTCATATTTTATTTTATTAAAAAAATAAAAAACATAAAATAAATAAACCAAAAACAAACTACCTTTTTATAAAATATTAAAATTACCTGAAGTGCCATGTGGGTGCTGTAATAGCAGTCATGTCATGTCATGTCATTGTCTGGTCTTGATTGTTTACTAACACTGGTCACCATCTTGGTTCCTCGGTTCTTCCAATTTTCACCCTCTTCTTTTTCTGAATTGGGAATCATCCCAATTCACTTCAATTCTTCTTTTCTATAAGTAGACTCACCTTATTGCCACTTACCTGCCACTGATTGGTTTCTTATGCCAAACAATTCTCTTCTTGGCTGTGATTGGCCCTATTGGTTTGCTATAGTTTTCTTGTTGCTCACCTGTAGATTGTTCCTCAGTGTGTGTACCTGTCCCTCACTGAGAGACATTCTCCTTCTATATGCAGGCAGGTGCACACAGACATTTCACCATCCACAATAAAGACATTCATAGTTGGCCCTGGTTGACTCTTGTATGTGCAGCGTCGTTCAGAGACACGAGTATTATACCCCTGGACCACGGTCTCAATTATGTGCACACATATTGTACCAATCTAATACTGATGTTCTTTCTTCAGGTCTCTGAGAAGATGGAGACATTTTCAGACAGATCCAAACCTATCCCGCCATGAAATCTTCTGTCCAGAACGAGGGGCCAAAACAAGACCTGCTCTGCCACGTCGTCACTGACATCAAGCTGCCAGAGATATACACCAAGACTACAGCCAGCAACAACTTTGAGACCGTTGGACCTCACACCACATGCTACATGGAATTCCAGCTGGCACAGGATGCTGAGTCTACAGATTGTAGGAACCAGACCCAATCTGTTCAAGGTGGTGGATTTCTTAAAACAAGAACAGGCCTTTGTTAGGGAAACCGTTTTGCAGCTTCAAGCTGGTGGCACACGCCAGATGAAAAAACGGAAGTATCGTCAACTGGAGAATGCATTGGATATGTACAAAGAGACAATTTATATGCGGACAGAAATCTCCTGTACAGTACTTCGATGCAGTGTCGCATCTTACTGGTTATTGATATGTATCCTTATTCTGTACATATTGTTATGAATGTCACAATATCATGTTATGACGCATTGTTAATATATTAAAATCTATCTTGCCTCACACATAAATGTTGTTTTCTGATTGGCTGAGCAGCGCTCTTCTATTATTTTCAATGTACCCCACTTACAAGTGAGTAACGTTTTCAATGTACCCCGCTGGGAATGCCGAACTCATTTGGTACTTCGTAGTAGTAACTGTTATGAATTGTTACAAGTAATTCTTTATCTGGAATAACATTGAATCACATAATATATGATGATCAGAAATTACCAATGCTTTGCGAATGCAAATCGATTGAAGGGAGATAACTCTAAATTTGTTTTTCTTGTCTTGTCGTCTGGTACTCCATACTATGATCCAACATCCGTGCTTCAAACAGTTCAAAATTACCATTGAGGTGTTTGGTATGATATGGTATATGTTTGTTATCTTTTTTACCTTTTAACCCTTTTTTATAAAGATAAAACCTTATATTACTCCTTGTCCGGTCATCTACTTTCTGGAACAGACTATGGTTGGTACATCTAACACAAAGACCGTAATCCCTCGTCCCGGGATTACCCATCACAACCAATCACTGTACATCAACCTACTCTGCTCAAATCACTAAATAGTAATCCCATGTTTATCAACCTTGTCAGTTGAATATACTCGCTATGCAGCTATGTACCGGTAATATATATTCTCCTTGTAACAACTCTTTGTATCACTTGCTTGATAAAGGTGTTAGTATCTACACAAAAACATCGCATTCATTGCAATAAAGGAGTTGACTATCCATAGAACTTGGTTTTTATTCATCTTCACAACTTCTAAAATGCTTCTCAAAGGTATCTAGAGTATTTCTGAAGAGACACCAGAAATGGGCTTCACAAGTAGTACCCATGTGGGGAATCGAACCCAGGTCTTCGGCCTAACAAGCGAACACTTTAACCACTGCCCCTTCAGGCACTAAGATTATCCCAGTAACAAACAGATGTTTCGAACCTTGATTGGACGAGGGCATTGCTCAGTTGTATTGCTAATAGGGCTTTTGATATCTATGTGTTCTGTATGACAAGAGGAAAAGTTAGGAGTAAAATTCATACATTTGATCAATGTGTATGCTTCATACACCACTTGGCTAGTTATATTTACTGTGGACTTAAGACCATATGACTGACAACTAAATAAAATTAGGGACAAAGTTGGCATTTTTCAAAATACAGTAAACGGTTAGAAATCCCAAGAGGTAAATATGAGGACATGACTAGGTATATGCTTCAAGGGTTTAGGCTAAGGTTGACTAATGAAAGCCAGCAGATAGTAGATAAGTATAAATAGATTTCGAACTATATATCACAACTTATCACTGAGACATGGGTTCAGATGCAGAAAAGAGCTACTGAACATAGCTTAACTATCTTAAATCTTACAAAAACGTCAGAACAATTTCAAGCAATGTTTCATTTCCTAGATAATGCAGTAAGCACTCTGGGCACAACATACAGTGAACAAGACATGAAGTACAAAGGTTTTTACGAGGTCAAAATTTAACATTAATTCCTGAACACGCCTTACGAAGGTTTTCTTACTCCACAGCCTACCCAAACATTAAAACAAAGTTACTGTGAGCACAGCACACATGAATATTGTACAATAATATACAATATAATACTCATAAAAATAGTAAAGCAATGGCAAAAGATATGGACAGGTTGGATTTACCTTTACCAACTCCATGCTTTCCTGTAGAACATCAGAAAACCCTTATTGGTGTCAAACTCAACAATCAATACAACCCCACGGCTCCAGATAAGGGTCATATTGGCTTATGTACGGCTAAAAAATATGCACGATACGGTAGGAAATAATTTAGAAAACGTAGCAGATACACACCACAGCAATGGTGTAGTCTTAGAATCATTTACAGACGTATTTATCTGAAAACGTATTGTTTTATTGTTTACTGACCTTAACTAATGTATGGAGTATACAGTAACCAATGCATGGAGTATACAGTAACCAATGCATGGAGTATACAGTAACCAATGCATGGAGTACATAGTAACCAATGCATGGAGTATACAGTAACCAATGCATGGAGTATATAGTAACCAATGCATGGAGTATACAGTAACCAATGCATGGAGTATACAGTAACCAATGCATGGAGTATATAGTAATCAATGCATGGAGTATACAGTAACCAATGCATGGAGTATACAGTAACCAATGCATGGAGTATACAGTAACCAATGCATGGAGTATACAGTAACAATGCATGGAGTCAGAGTAAAATGCATGGAGTATAAGTTATGGAGTATACAGTAACCAATGCATGGAGTATATAGTAAAATGCATGGAGTAGGCAGTAACCAATGCATGGAAATATTTAATCAATGGGAATCAATGCATGGAGTATACAGTAACCAATGCATGGAGTATACAGTAACCAATGCACCAAGTATACAGTAACCAATGCACCAAGTTATGGACTGCTTCTTAATAATGATCAATGATAATCCAAACCTAACTGTCACCACTTACAAGTGATGTGAAATATTGATTTCTTTCAGATTTTGAGGGTATTTTTGGCCAAAGTTACTTTTGATATTTCTTGAGAATCTATACATAAATCAGTTAAAGAGTATCAATTGCTATCATCAATAACCAGCCCTAGCTGACATGGACGCTGTATTTCCTTTCTTCTTTGAATTTGTCTCCATGGCATAAATAACAAATCGGACATGTAGAATAGAACAGCGTTGTCTTAGCCTGTAAATGTGGACTTCATTGTTTCCTTCTGTAGACTTGCTGTAAAATTGGTAACGGCACATCTGATGGTGTGAAGAAGATGCTGAATTAAAAAGGTGATGAACATTTCTGTCTTTTTCATAACAATGGATCTTAAGCTGGTGCAAAGTTCAAAGTACATCCTCACTGCATGAACTTTACTCCATCTGTTCATGTCTGACAAGAAAGCGCTTTTCTTGCCCCAAACTGCCCAATATCCAAGAACGGTGGCTTAATTACCGCAAAGTTGCCAAGTGTTGCATCCTGACAGGTGTGGGAATCACTGTTCTGCAGATCTCTACTATGGTACATCAATGTATTATTTTGATCAAGCTCATGCATAGGGCCAGTTAAGGAAGTGCCAACCCTTTTGATGTCCCTAACACCAAGCCCTGTTAAGCATTACTAGAGATTCCACTATCGGTATGTTGGATGCCATGACATTCTTGTACATGAAAGCCATTATTTCTATGTTGAAATCTATTTTTCATCCATTTTTCTTGCCCAAAGTGACAAATGAATACAATATTTAGCTCTAAACCTGTGTGGTCGCATGGTCTTGTATTCTGTGGAAATGCCAGCCTAAACACTTGTACAAGCTGAGTACACTAGTACAACTCAAGTTCTTAAATTGCATGAGCGCAGTTGCAAGCACATGAAATTTCAACATGTTTGGGGTTAACTTACCTGATGCTATTGCCTGTAAATGTGGCGCGCCATCCGAAAACTCATTCCATTTTTTTTTTTAATGTACTTTATATGATGACTTTAGGAAGTCACTATTGTCAGATATTGATAAACTTGGGGGACAAGAAACGCTTCTGACTATCTTCCAGCACATAGTACATATCCTGTACAGAACACTTTAATACTCGTGCCTAGTTCCTTCATCTTTTGGCCCAAAAAAAATATGCTTAAAACAACTGCATGAGCACAGGCGAGGGGTTGGCACCTTCATTAACTGTAAAACTGAAATACCACTTACCTGTCGACGAAAAGCTTTGATTTGCACAGCGTCTGTTCCAACAGGAAGCTTCGTGAATTTACCTGTAATATCAAACAATACTGCTCGTTATCATAATGTATTTGCAGGCTGTTCTCCCCAAACCAGCTGTACTCACCACTGCAGGAAGACAGTGACTGCGCTTTGTCGCATGTAGATCAGGTGAGTGAGTTTAGTTTTACGCCGCACTCAGCAATATTCCAGCTATATGACGACTGTCTGTAAATAATCGAGTCTGTACCCGACAATCCAGTGGTCAACAGCATGAGCATCAATCTGCACACTTGGGACTGATGACGTGTCAACCAAGTCTGACTACCCAATCCCATTAGTCACCTCTTACGACAAGCATGGGTTACTGAAGATCAATTCTAACCCAGACCTTCACAGGTTCATGTAGATCAGGGAGATGGTCGGGGCAAAACCAGGGTGGCACTGGAGGGAGCCAGGGTGGTGCCAGGGTGGAGCCAAGATGGCACTGAAGGGAGCCAGGGTGGAACTAGGGTGGCACTGGAGGGAACCAGGGTTGCACTGGAGGGAGCCAGGGTGGAACCAAAGTGGAGCCACTGGGGCACAAGGGTGTGCCAGGATGGAGCCAAGATGGCACTGGAGGGAGCCAAGGTGGAACCAGGATGTGCCAGGAAGTGCCAGGATGTGCAAGGGTGGAGCCAGGGTGGACCAGGTGCACGCCCCTCTTTTTGAACTGTACTTTACCGAGAAAACCCAAATACATGTTACATTTGAGCGAGTGAGTTTAGCTTTACGCCGCTTTTAGCAGTATTCCAGCAATATCACGGCAGGCGACACCAGAAATGGGCTTTAAACATTGTACCCATGTGGGGAATCAAACCCGGGTCTTCAACAAACGCTTTAACCCCTAGGCTACCCTACCGCCCCTTGATCACTTTCTAAAAGGCATTGTGTAATCATAGCTTTGGCATTAGGGCACATGCAAAGTTGCACTCGTCAAAGAGGTACATAAACTATGTAACTTTCGAAATGGCACTGTATTCACCACTTTCTTAAGCATCCTGATAATGCTGAAGTGTAATAAACATTTTTGTTCAAGTGATATGACACAAATGTGGTCTACGCAGTTGGGATACGATGGCTTGTCAACCAAGTCAGTGAGACTGACAGCCAATCCTGTTAGTCGCCTCTTACAACAAGCATGGGTTACTGAAGATCAATTCTAACCCGGTGTAACAGGCCAAACTTTCCTCCTGGCCCTAAACTTTCCCCCACCTAGGCTTAATCTTCCCCACCCTTGAAAGTTTGTCCTTGTTCTTGTAAAAGGGTGACTTCTTTATTTCTTCCCACCCATGTTCTTGTATCAAAAGGGTGAGATTCTGGCCTTAAACAAGCTTATGTGAATAATGTTCCATTACATTTATACATAAATACAACAAATATTAGATAATTAACAGCATGATAAGAGAGCAAGCAACCAGTGTATATTACATCATATTTACCCATCAAATGTGCGATTGAATGTTTACATCTTATGGTGGACAGAAGAAGAACTAATGCAATGTGTCTTCATAGGAATGGCGGCAGGAGCAGGATAGATTTACAGATATATGCCGTTCAAACATGTATGCATTCAAAGCACTACACCCAAGTGAGAGGCAAAAATGGACTATTTAGTAAAAATGTGTACCAAAATATAAGTCAAACCTACTGTTTTATAAGAGTAAGGGTGGGGAAGAAGTAGCCCAGGTAGGCCAGAATCTCCCCCTTTTGGTATAAAAACATGGGTGGGGAACAAGTAGCCTAGCTTGGCGAGAATCTCCCCCTTTTGGTATAAAAACAAAGGTGGGGAAGAAGTAGCCTAGGTAGGCCAGAATCTCCCCCTATTGGTATAGAAAACAAGGGTGGGGAAGAAGTGGCCTAGCTTGGCCAGAATCTCACTACTTTTCATAGAAAACAGAACAAAATATCCTAGTTTAAACAGGAGGGAAAGTTTGGCCTAGGGAGAGAAACTTTAGCCCAGCCCAAACTTTCCCCGGGGTAAGAATATCCTAGGACAAAACCTCCCTGGGGAAAGTTTGGCCTAGGCCAGATTCTCCCCGGGGAAAGTTTCGACCGGGGAAGAAATGGCCTGCTACACCGGATCTTCATGGGTCTTGTGTGTGCTGCCAGGGGTAGAAAACATAACGTGTATGTGAAACAACCGGTTATAGATTGAATTTTAGTTAAACTCTATATTTTATGACGCATATACGAGTGCAGTGGCATAACTATATAAACATGCAAGGGAGAATAATTCAGGATTAAAATACCTTGTAAAACTCCAGACTGTTTTAAGTTATTTCAATCTGTTTTGTCCACTATGGTTCAAATAAAGTACTAAAAAGTCTTCATTAAATTATTGATATAATATACTTTGTCAAACAGCACAAAACACTTAATAGGTTTAAGTAGTGGATATCATCACTGAAAATTGACATGTGAATTACATTTTACATGCAACATACTTTTGCCTATTTTCCTCACCATGGCATACTATTTTTAGTGTCTACCACACTACATACACTTTACAAAATCTGATTATCATGCATAAAGTCAATAACTTTCTGATCATACAGATAACTATGACTGGACATCCCATGGTAGCTTTTGTCCTGAAAATTATGATAATAATGGACATTTATAAAGTGCCTGTATCCAAGCAGTTATGCATGCTCAAAGCGCTAACACATTATTACCCCTGTTAACCCAAGCTGCCTTTCAGGCTCTAGAAGGTTAACAGTCATGACTTATCCCACCTGGTACCCATTCACTGCTGGGTGAACCAAGGCAATTCTTAACAAATTCACTGAGTGTGAATGTGATGCAATAAGTTGCTTAAATCACAGTTAAATGGAAATAACATTTTATGTTTATCTGCTAACTATTTCAAAGTAAGACTTACTGAAAGTTACTTTCATTTTGATGATAACATAATAACCCATGTTTAATTCTGTACACTTTCATGATTTATCATCAATGTATACTTGTTCAGTTCATTATTTTAACACCTGCAATATCAGTATTTGTATCAAAACATATTGACTTAATAACTGATTTTAAAACTGACATCTATGGCCTGTATGTTGCCAGACTGCACAGATTAATTCCGCCCGTAACCCCGGGTTTTTTATTAAAAGTTAAACCATTCTATGCCTAAGGCCTATGGCTTTTTATTATAAAAAGCCTGAACCTAACTAACCATAACCCCTCGAAATAATCCTAATAAATTAAATAGAATACAGATCAAGCGGGGGTTACGGGCGGAACTCTTACTCTGTCTGTGAGTGAGTGATTATGGTATTACGCCGCTTTTAGCAATATTCCAGCAATATCACGGCGGGCGACACCAGAAATGTACTCTGTCTGTGGTACCGCAGTAACCTACAGTGCAGTTCCCAGATAGTGGGTTTGTGACATTTCCTATGTACAGCTTATCAACAGAGTAAAGCTTTCCTTACACAATCATGTTTTTACCAACGAGATCTGAGGTAATATCCTGCTACGAAGTTTTCTGTTTCCACTTACCAGTACGAGGCGCTTCCATCCCATGACTTCATCACGTGGCGAAAGATGACCTCTTGAAATAAACTGGTTCCACTGTTGGTACGCGACGAAAACTAAACGTTCTTTTCACGAGAAGACCGAAGGTAGCAGGAGCCCAGTCAACCCCCAGGTATCTCTTTGGGCGGGATAACGCTGCACGTGCAGTCCATTCAAAGCGAGGGTATTCATCTGCACGTTGTTGCTGCCACGGCAAGAAGTGATGGTTGACTGCCTCTGCTTGGAAGGCAGTGTGTTTACATGACGACGATAATTATTTAAGGCTACTGTTATGAGTGCACCATCCATTCCTTGCATAGGCGGATCCAGACACTTTTGCCCTGAAAGTTTATTAATGACCATTGAAACTCGGTTGAAAATGAAGTGTGCATCCCTCCTTTTCTCAATAGTGTGCACCCACCCTTTCTCAAAAAGCTGTATCCGCCCCTGGCTTGATGCAGATACCGTATTCACCCTATGTTAAGCAGTGACCTGAACGTCCACTGACAAACTTTCAGTTCAGTCTGCAAGTAACGTGTACAGGCGACCCGTACTAGGCATCAAAATTTACGGGATAGTCGGCATTTTCTGGTGCATAACACATATTTGTTCGCAGAAAATCCACGACTTCATGCAGATACGACCTTCTCCATATGAAGCACCAAACTCCAAAACTGAGCTCTGGCCAACTTGTAATTTGAATTCCAACCCTTCCCAGCCTGGTTTCCGGGGTCTGCTGCCCTTGCGCTTCACACTGATCACGGGAACCAGGCTTATCCCTGTCCAGCAAGTGAGTGAGTTTCGTTTTACGCCGCAGTCAGCAATATTCTGGCTAAATGGCGGCGGCCTGTAAATAATCGAGTCTAGACCAGACAATCCAGTGATCAACAGCATGAGCATCGATCTCCGCAGTTGGGAACCGATGACACGTGTCAACCAAGTCAGCTAGCCTGACCATCCGATCCCGTTAGTTGCCTCATACGACAAGCATGGATTACTGAAGATCAATATTCTACCCCGGATCTTCACGGGTACCTGCTAATTGGAACCATCTACGTACTCTTGGGTTTTGAACCACCTCCTGACCTCTCCCATGCACAGGCGTATGGTGCCCCCTAAGCTATCCCTCCGCCCTTCACCATAAATGAGCTGAAGGTTTTCATGTCAAGATTTACCTGAGAAAGGAATGTTGAAAGTTTTTCACAATTCATTTAAGCATATGATTGTTTAGATACGGCATATCTATTGTCTAACATCCAAGGATTTCTAATCAAACTAATTGATTTCATTTTAAGTTTATTTTAACCATCACGGCGTTAGAGAGTTGAGGGTCATGACCATACCCTCCAAATACATCAGGTTAATTTCAAAATACCTACTCATACAAATTTAATGAACACCGCTTTCTTTTATATCACGATGATTAATCTGTCATGGGTGGTTCTATTGCAAAACACCCTCCACTCTCTGTGGCTGTTTTAAACATTTTTATTTGCATATTAAACGGCCATAATAATGTTCGTAAATATTCCACTTTGGCATTTGCGTTTTGTTCGACTTGCATGGTATCTAGACGTGTACAGATCTACGTGAACATGTAGCTTGATCAGCGTCCCCGTGATAACGCTAGCTATTACAGCTGATGCGTGTATATTGGTAAACCACCCAAATGGAGAGACGTACTGGTTTGTGCAGCCAAAAAGCTGGCTCCCTGTGTCTGTTGCGCCTGCGCTAACGCTCCGACAGTGAGTGCGTGACACGAACACCTGTTTTACAAGCATATAAGAATTGAATTTTATTTCAGAACACAATTCGATCGAAATGAGTTCGAAAGAAGAGTTTTTTGACATTGTACAAAGCATCCTATATATTCCTGTTGTCAAAGAATTAACGAGGCATTCAGCCATTCATAACTTGTGTGTGACTATCAAGTGAAGACATTTATCTAACCTACGAGGTATCATATCGGTATTTTTATCTGAAATCTAATTCCTAAATGGGTCCAGCATTATTTCGGCGTCAGCAATGCAATCAACGCAGACAGTAGTTGATAATACCGACAATTACCTTTCAGAGTATAATCTGAACCTAATTTATTATTCATTCCTAGTCGATCTAACGTTTAAAACTTCAGTCTTAAGATTCGACGAAGAATGAAATATTCTTATGAAAGCGACAGAGCTTTTAAAAACTAAACAGGCACACTATTCATATTTTAATATATTTTAAATATTCGGTTTTGCAGATGCAAGTGCCTATCTCTCTACTACTACTGTGTTTGATATTTGTGAATATATATTTTTTTTAAAGGAATCTTTAAAGGATTACGAGGGTACGAGGTCTAACACAAACAAATATATGAACATGATACATCTAGATCTACATGGTTTGTACTTCACGCTTCAAATACTTAACCATACCATTCACAATTACGATCTGGGTTAGAATTTCTCTATCGATGCTCATGCTGTTGATCACTGGATTGTCTGGTCCAGACTCGATTATTTACAGACCACCGCCATATAGCTGGAATATTGCTGAGAGCGGCGTAAAACTAAACTCACTCACTCACTAGAATTTCTCTGCCGTAACCCAGGCTTTATAGGCTTAAATAGCCACTTACGAGATTAGGTGATCAAGACTCTCTGACTTGGTCGATGAATGCCAACGTATCCCACATGGGTTATTGGATGTTCATGATGTCGTTCTGTGGATTGATTGGTCAAAACTCTCGTATTTACAGATTGCTGCCATACAACTGGAATGTTGTTACTGCAGCCCAGTTCAAGTATGTTAAACATAGAACTTTGCAAATTTAATAATTTAGGGCATACTTAATTCCAACCCTTCCCAGCCTGGTTCCCGGGGTCTGCTGCCCTTGCGCTTCACACTGATTACGGGTATCAGACTAATCCCAGTCCTGCGCATTGGAACCCTCTACATACTCATGGGTTTTGAACCACATCCTTACCCCTCACATGCACAAGCACATGCGGTCTGTAAATGATCGAGTCTGGACCAGACAATCCTGTGATCAACAGCATGAGCATCGATCTACTATACGCAATGGGGAAACGATGACATGTGTCAACCAAGACAGCACCCGATCCCGTTAGTCGCCTCTTACGACAAGCATGGGTTACTAAATACCAATTCTAACCCGGATCTTCACAGGTCTAAACGTACATGGAAACATATAAATAGGTATATTAATAAATTACATAATTGAATGAATAAATAAATAATGTAAAACATGTAAACTCCTTTCTTGATTTAACATAAACGTTTTGACAAATAAAAATATAAATACTATTTTTTTAAATGAATGAACGAACGAACTAATGAATCTAATAATCCACCCACACTATTCGGTTTTTCATCCTCCACAGCGGATTTTGAGCTCTTCCTACTACCGGTTTGTATTCAACCAATAAAACAATCTTTATCTGCATATGAATTACAGATAGGTAATATAAGTGGGGATTATATAATATAAGGGATACGAGAAAACGGCATGTTGCTGGTCGAGGTACGGTGTGGTGAGGTGAAATTGGGTTTAACGTCGTGCTTGAAAATATTCCGCTCATATGAGGACGTGCAAGCGTGTGTATGTGTATGTGCAGCTGCTTGTACTAGTCCAGACTTAAGCATGTTTTATAGTGCTAGCCCACTGAGATACCATGCCGCAGTGAAGCATGAATACCCCACTCAGACACATTATACTGACTCCGAGCCCACCAGTCCTTGATGTACCCATTAATGCCGAGCGCCAGGCAGGGACCAACAAGTACCATATTTTAACGTCTTTTGGTATGACACGGCCAGGGATCGAACCCGCGACCTTCCGCTCTCCGGGCGGACGCTTTAACCACTACACCACGGAGGCGGTCCTTGCTGATCGAATTAACCCAAAGAATATATAACCTATCTGAATTGTATAGGCTATTATGAGTATGAAAACAAACATATTTATCAGTGATTTAACTTGATGTAAGTTCTTCAAACGATGCCCTGTTAACTCAAATTTCACGATTCTGTGGAATATTAATCTAGTTCTATTAAAGTTTATCCTAGTTACAAAGTTAACTCTCATAAACGCACTGCTGTGCTTAAAACCACGATAACACCAAATTTGACCCGTTGGAAATATATAATATCTACAGGTACTAAGTGAATTGGATTTATAGCCAATTTCACCATTAGTCATAAACACCTCGACGAAAGACGCCAAGAATGACCCTACACATTGTACTTAGAGGAATCGAACTGCACCCAAGGGTGAACAGCTAAAGTGTTAAAGTGCTAGCCAGGGCCCTTTTTCTCGAAACATTGGTAGCCCTAAGAATTCTTAACTTGATCGTAGCCAATGTGTTAAGAATGGGCTTAAGAAGTTCGTGGGGCTACGAACGTTTCGAGAATAGCTAGCCAGATCTGCCCGTGTCCTGGAAGTTAAAACTTGGCTTCCTCGTCAGTCGTTGAGCTTGACCACACTCATGTGTCAAATCAATTTTTTGCAAATCATGGAATATTTTCTCGGGCTGTCACGTGGTGTCATGGTTACGAATTCAACCAATCGTGTCCCACTTTGAACAGCTGCACGAGTTTTCCATGCGCTCTACCCCAATGTGTTTTTGTAATAAAGTATAGTTTTTGCCCTGAACTATTATAATTAAAGCACGAGGACGGTAGTCCGAGTGCTTTGATGTTATAATAGTTCAGGTTTCAGTTCCTTGTTTTAGACTAAGAGTAATTTTGCCCTGAACTATTATAATTAAAGCACGAGGACGGTAGTCCGAGTGCTTTGATGTTATAATAGTTCAGGGGCAAAACCATATACTTTATTACAAAACACATTGGGTAGAGCGAACTTTACATCTTTCTAAGATGCTAAATTTAATACTTTCTAAGGATAATTACGATTAATTTAAGGCAGAAAACAAATGACGGTGTCGGTGACCTAAATTAAGAATCCTCGCATTAACAGGGCTAACTGGTGCGCTGTTCTATTGATGTGTCTGCCCCCCTACGTTAAGACGAACGTTACCAGAAAAAAAACAAATGATAACAGTTTGATGACGGTTTACGTTCGGATTAAATATCTTCTCTGAATTATTTTAATTACATCTGTCATTAACGTAAACCATATGGGGCAATATCAACGTCGCATTTCTTCTACCAACGTAAGTTTAGATCAGTACATCCAGATGAAGCGGAGTAGTCAAGCGACATTCCACGATTGCATTGTGGGAATGTAAACATTGCGAACGTTACCGTGTCGCTGAAAACTTGTGAGTCGAATTGAGACATTTTAACCGTCGGAAAACATAAACGTAATGTTTCCACCAGTGATGTTAGCTGCGTGAAGCAACTGCAAAGCAAGAAACGGGATGCAACGGAGTAGTTTACTGTAGGAGGCCGTACGAGGCGATGACAACTGACATGCATCGTGACGTCACTTACATTGTGACGTAATGTAAAATAATTCGATTACGAGGGGGCACACTAGAATGGCGCAGTGACGGGATAACGTCATTCAATTGTTACGTCATCAAAAAACTATACCTTTATTGTCTCATAATGTATTTTTTTTTCGATTGTTCTAACAGTTAGACATCTTAGAAAGTGTAATAAAACACACTTTTGCCCTGAACTATTATAGTTAAAGCACGAGGACGCTTGCGTCCTAGTGCTTTAACGTCATAATAGTTCAGGAATATAAAACCGAGGCAAACATGAGGTTAGAAACGACTTGTTGCTTTTAATGTGGTAAAATTGAAGTTCTTTTGGCAAATTTCGTTTGTAATAAAATTAAAGTTTTGCATCAAATGCTAAAGGCCCACGAAGAGCTACGATGGAACCTGCTCTCCGCCATGCCTAACCAGGAAGCAACATTGTTGAGGACAAGTTGAAAATTACGAGGTAAGTTCAGGAATATGAAATTGAACAACGTTTGTGATTATCTAGAATTTACTAGTTCAAACCCCAGGCGAGCCTATGAGGGTTTACTTGTTTCTACTACTTGTAGGTAGTTTCTGACTGGTGCTCGGCACTACTTGGACTGAAGTGTATTTATAAACATGTAAATATGATATATTTACTACGAGAAATGAATTACAAAAATAACATATTAGTCATTACGGGTATCAGTTGTTTATCAAATGAAAAAGTGTCATTCTGAAATCCTGGAATCGTTTTGAATGTTTTGGAAACTGTTTTGAACTTTAAAGTGTACAGTAAATCATATTTCACGTTGGCCGGTCATGAGATGCGCATTGCGTCACACAGATCTATATTTTACACTCAGCTGCGACACGTACAAACTCAAATAATTTAGAATCCATCGATTAATAAATTTGTCCCAAAGCAAAGTGTTTGGTTTGAATTAAGCGAAATTTATTAGATGTGAAAACGAACGCTGTGCTTGGAAGAATCCACTTGGCTGAAATGTCAACAAACGAAAACTCGGATCTTACACCAGCATTTTCGCTTATGTATGAGAGAACCACAACTCTGTTGACAGGATTTTGCGGGGACCCTCCGTTGATTCAGGTATCGTTTCACAGAAATTTGATTTGCAAGTAATGTGAAACATTCTGGCTATCTGCGAATTGTTATTTGTTTTATATTCTTAGACTTGAAGGAGGGGTGGGTGTTTCCATGTGTAACGCTGGCTCAAGAAGTTAGGTTCCATGTGCATGGGAGGTCAGGTGGGTGTTCCATGTGTATGGGAGGTTAGGTTTAAGGGTGGGTGTTCCATGTGTATGGGAGGTTAGTTTAAGGGTGGGTGTTCCATGTGTATGGGAGGTTAGTTTAAGGGTGGGTGTTCCATGTGTATGGGAGGTTAGTTTAAGGGTGGGTGTTCCATGTGTATGGGAGGTTAGTTTAAGAGGGTGGGTGTTCCATGTGTATGGAGAGTTGTTTAGTTTGGGTGGGTGTTCCATGTGTATGGGAGGTTAGTTTAAGGGTGGGTGTTCCATGTGTATGGGAGGTTTGGTTGAAGGTGGGTGTTCGATGTGTATGAGAGGTTAGTTTAAGGGTGGGTGTTCCATGTGTATGGGAGGTTAGTTTAAGGTGGGTGTTCCATGTGTATGGGAGGTTAGTTTAAGGGTGGGTGTTCCATGTGTATGGGAGGTTAGTTTAAGGGTGGGTGTTCCATGTGTATGGGAGGTTAGTTTAAGGGTGGGTGTTCCATGTGTATGGGAGGTTTAGTTTGAAGGTGGGTGTTCCATGTGTATGGGAGGTTAGTTTAAGGGTGGGTGTTCCATGTGTATGGGAGGTTAGTTTAAGGGTGGGTGTTCCATGTGTATGGGGGAGTTAGTTTAGTTTAGGGTGGGTGTTCCATGTGTTAGTTTATGGTGAGTGTTAGGTTAGTTTAAGGGTGGGTGTTCCATGTGTATGGGAGGTTAGTTTAAGGGTGGGTGTTCCATGTGTATGGGAGGTTAGGGAAGAATTGGGTGTTCCATGTGTATGGGAGGTTAGTTTAAGGGTGGGTGTTCCATGTGTATGGGAGGTTAGTTTAAGGGTGGGTGTTCCATGTGTATGGGAGGTTAGTTTAAGGGTGGGTGTTCCATGTGTATGGGAGGTTAGTTTAAGGGTGGTGTTCCATGTGTATGGGAGGTTAGTTTAAGGGTGGGTGTTCCATGTGTATGGGAGGTTAGTTTAAGGGTGGGTGTTCCATGTGTATGGGAGGTTAGTTTAAAGGTGGGTGTTCCATGTGTATGGGTAGGGAGGTTAGGTATGAAGGTGGGTGTTCCATGTGTATGGGAGGTTAGTTTAAGGTGGGTGTTCCATGTGTATGGGAGGTTAGTTTAAGGGGGTGGGTGTTCCATGTGTATGGGAGGTTAGTTTAAGGGTGGGTGTTCCATGTGTATGGGAGGTTAGTTTGAAGGGTGGGTGTTCTGGAGGACGCATGGATGGAATAAGGAAACCCATGGATGGATACGGACCATGGAGTTGGAAGACATGGAGACCCAGAAGGCGTGGCATGGCAACGACAAAAGGAAGGAAAACCACGGATGGTATGGAGGTATGTGGAGTTTAACCCGAAGGAGGTGTTCACATGGAACCCGGATGTGAAGGACATGCATGGAGGAAACCCATGGGGAGAGGAACCCATGGACACCGGCGTATATGGAGGTTAGTTTGCTGGTGCGTGGCATGTGTAGGGGAGGTTAGTTTAATGGGTGCATGGTGTTCCATGTATGCGAGGCTAGGGTTGAAGGAGGATTGAGGGTGGGTGTTCCATGTGCATGGGAGATTAGGCATGGAGGAAGGTGGAAACCGGCATGGAGGTTAGTTTATGGGTGGGTGTTCCATGTGTATGGAGGAATAGGAAGGTGGGTGTTTGAAAGGAAAATGACTGGCAGGTTAGACAATGGAGGCACATACATGCATGGAGGCCAGGTTCAGGAATGGTGGAAACCACGAGTCACAGGACATGGTCCCTGTAGGCTCCAGGATGTCGAGGGTGTTGAAAGAATTGAAGGAGGGTGTTCTATGTATGTGACAGGTTGTGTTGAAGGTGGGTTTGACCATGAAGCCATCCTCTTCCAGCAATGATAACACATAATCTTTGAATAAATAGTGATTTATTTACACTATGAACAGTTTAGAAATAATAATTTCATAATGGTATTGCACAAATGAGAACAAAAAAGGAAAACAACAAATTGTGACCTTACGGAATGTACGCTGCTAGATCTACACTTCAAATGTCAACCCTACAATCTTATTGATTGACAAATTCATACCAGCTAATTTCTTAAATGATTATGATAACTTGTCTAGGAAAGCACAAGTGAAGAATCAAATTAATTCCTGATGAGTGAAAGAAACAATACAGTCTCACTTTCTTCTCTCTTAAGAAGTAAGACTTACCTCCCTTGTCACTATCATGGCTTATCTCCCTTTTCTTTGGCATCACATTCTGTTTACTACTCGTAACATTTCATTTAACAATGCCTGCCATGTATGTTGCCCGAAAATGTTTTGTGACAGTTCAGATTTCATTAAAAAGAGTGCTTGTTCATATTCAATTTGAATAATGGAATTTGGTTCCTTAAAAAAGACTAATCATTCATTTGTTTCAGTCCGCAAATAGGATAATCTGTAAAGTAATAATTTCACCCAACATCAAGGTTCAACATACATGACACAATCAAATATCTATTAACATGACTAGAATTCATTGATAACAATAATACTATTAAATAAACTATTCAATACTTGACAGGAAAAACAAGAATTTATGGATATAAGAAGTATTCTTAATTTGGGTTCATTGATGTTGGATAATTGTATAGTTGGGTTATTTTTGTTGTTAAGTATCTAGTACAAAATTATTCTTACTTTTCAATGCTGTATCATATATGAAAACCAATTCAAACAGTGTTATTGCAGAACAAAAAGAAATTCCTGGAATAAGTCCGACATGTTTACTATGTAACAACATATATTCTAAGAGCCATAGAAATAGCACCAGTAAGTGATACCCTTAATAAAAAGCATCCAATCTTCAGATGAAGATGAAGACAAAATTTCTATCAATAACAACTCAAGAGATAGGTCCTCAAAGAAAACACACATTTAACAAAAACATTAATCAACTTCAACTGCATATAATTACATAAAAGTAAACATTTGCTTCTGAAAAATAATCACAAGTATTCCTCGGTGTACTCAGGCAGTTAATACAAACCTTGATGTCACAATTCTCTACATGTTTTCTGTAACTTTATGCTAACTTATAGCAAGCACTGTAGTTCCCGAGGAACCTGCTTTGAATTTTTTTCAGAAACAAATATCTGACATTTAAAACAACCATGAACTAGTTGACATTAAAAACAATCAAAGAATAGACATTAGTTATGATTCTGCAGAGAATATATGATCACATGTGCCAATTGTTTTTTTTTGTAAAGTTTAGAGCGGGATAAGCAACTTACATGTCTCATATCCTTCTCTGCAAAACCAAAATGTAGTTGTCCATCCATCAGCTGTTTTCCATCTACAAATTCCTGAATCTCTAACAATGCATCAGTGAAATTGGCCACAACATCTTCAAGGTAAAACACTGCTATTTACCACAGCATCACTAAGATTTGTTCAATGGGTACCTTACAACTTGGCAGGCATGAAACCTTTCTTTTCCCATTTGGAGATTATAAAAAATATGTTATTTCACATTTGACCTAACAGGTCTGATTAGAAAGAGATGGTCACTTTTAAAATGTTGGTGTATTTTTCTAGAATTTTTCACTTTGAGCAAAAATGAACAGTTGAGGCCTGACAGATGTTTTTTAAATTGTTTTTATGGATTTTCACTGTCAGTATGCCAGGGAGGATTTAAAATAATAAAAGAATATCTTGTCAAGTTTTTACAAGGTTTTTTCTCATATTCTGCAGTTAAAATAGAAATAACAATATCATATTTTGTGAAAATTTGGGACACAAGAAAATGAACTGGGGTAAGTAACAGTTCACTAACTGTTTTGTATCAGTCCAAGTTGAACAACTCCCAGCTGAAGTGATCTGTTGAACCTGTGCTATCCATGCATGTGTTCAACATCCGACTAACATTTCTGCACTTCTTTCTTGAGCAAACTCGGATGAGATCACACATTTGGGTCAAAGGTCATATGAATAATAATTCACTGCATATGCACTGGTTTCCAATTCGATACAAACATAGACAGATTCTAATTTGTCTACACAGCACTAGGGTCACTTAAAACAAAGTACTTTGTCACAACCTTTGAGCAAATGGCTTAGCCACCAATCTGGTAATGGTTTCCTTAAGAAGGTGTTAAACTTATGAATTCTGATAATTAAAGAGTTGAAATAGATCTGGGTCGATTGTTACCACGTTCTTATCCTTGTCTCAGAGTGTGAAGTCAGTTTTACAGACTTGTATTGTGTAGGATGTTCATGACCGAAAAAGCTACGCTTTAGGGGGTGACCTGAATTGATATTCAAGAAAGGGGTGGGGCATTCTTTGAAAAAAGTAAATATGCAACCTTAGATTTTTGCCACAAATAAAGTATCGTTACTGAACATACTGGATGATCTGAAAAATAATGGGTTGTGGTGCCCCCCAACTAGCCTGACTCTACTAAAAGAGTTCTGTGATTCTGCTTTCTCCCCCCCCAACTCCAAGACAGCCAGGAACCCACCCCATTCGGAATATATCCTATAATGCCCCACCCCCACCTTTACTTCAACTTCAACCTCCTCCTGAATAAATGCCACGCCCCCTCCCAAAAAATGTTACCTGGTCCATCAACTGTTTCTTGCCATGGTGATTCAGGATGCATAGTATTAAAGGCAAATTAGACATGTCCATCTCACAGGAATACTTAATAAGTGGAGAGAGAATGTGCAGTTGCTGACATATGTATTAAGTATTCAGATTAGTAGCAGATATGTGGCAGCCATTTTAATGGATTGAATCACAACCGACAATTGCCTGCTGATCATGGAAAATGTTAACTTATTTAGAATTACAAAATTCAGCTGGAGTTTCTATAATAGATACTTTGTGCCCTTTACCAAATATGATTTAAAGTTCTACAAAATTTCAAACATGACTGGGCGGTGGGGTAGCCTAGTGGTTAAAGCGTTGGCTCGTCACATCAAGGACCCGGGTTCGAATCCCCACATGGGTACAAAGTGTGAAGCCCATTTCTGGTGTCCCCCGCCGTGATGTTGCTGGAATATTGCTAAAAGCGGCGTAAAACCAAAACTCAGTCAGTCAGTTCAAACATGACTTCAGTTTTCACAAAAGTCAGATAATATGGTACCACTGCAGACTTTATGTTAGGTTATTGTACACATTGGGCAAACTTATTTCCAGTATTAATCTTCCAAGGAGTATTAATACTAGGGTTATATTGATACACTTGGGAATAATACTTACACTGTTTGTAACTACAACAACCGAAGGATGGTCTGATCTACTGGCCATGTTTGAACTTTGTAGTTGTCATGTAACCCTTCTTTAATCCCTCATAACAGGGAATAGCTTGGGGGTTCAGTTTTGACATATATTACCAAATTAAGTCAAACCTTTAATTTACACTGATATTGAACTTTTGCTTATAGAAAATGGTATGTACTTCATGGACATGAAACAACACTAAAGAGGTTTTGATCACATTGCATCTACAATTATCATTAGAGCCCAATGTAATACAGTCCTGTTAAACCATGTGAACAGCTGTGGGTTCATCTTCCATGATCAGCAGATCCTGGACAAACACCTTGAACACGGAAAGCTGATAGTGATGAGGATAATGGATGAGAAAACCTTGTCAGCCCTGTTGCATGTACTCAGCCTGGTTACCTTCACATGCTAGCACTCACACCTCCAGAGCACAAATGAGCCAAGCCCTAAGGAACTGGGCTCCAGCTGGTTGTGTGCTTAAGAACTGCCCTCTACATAAGTTCTGACATCGAGCAAACACACCAGATCTCTGGCAATACCTCAGTTGAGGAACAAAATAGTTCGTGTTCCTGAACCAGGTTGAAGCAATGTCTGAGCATCTCCACCTGCAGCTCTTGTAATATAAGCCCCCAAACTGTCCTCCATGGAAGCAACTTTACTTGTCCTTTGTTAAAGTAGAGCTGGCAATATGTCTGGGCATCTCCATCCATGGTTCTGGAAATATAAGTCCCCTGGTGCCAAAACAGACCTATTCTCCATGGTCAACAACTACTGATCACAGCTGCACAAGACGACTGGGTGTGAGAACTTCTGCAGTTGTCAGGTACAGGTGAATGCATGGGCATCGGTGACGGTGATTTACAGGATGATGTTGTCTGGTAGCATAACATAGAAACACAAAGGTCAAAGTTGGAATGACATTGACCTTAACATTAATTGCATGAATCTTGTGCACATGACTGTCAATGCATCCAATAGTACGTAGCAGTCGTCCACAGAAACATGAGGAATATTTGACCTTGTATGCGTTCAGAAGCACTGGCCTACATGTATCACATTGTGTTCAAGGTCTGCTCCCTCAAGAACCGGTCCTCTTATACTGGAGTCCGACCTATAGTGGTTCCATGGAACAGTACTGAATGCTTTTGTATCAACAGTGTACATCTTCTTCAATACAACACACAAACATTGTGGGTCAGTTTTGCATCAACATACATAATATTCACAGATATGACCCCAAATCATTCATGTTCTATATTAATTATTGCATTAAAAACACCCTAGACATTGAAAAAATAATGCTTGGGAAAATGACAAAAATGCATGATAGAAGCACTCTTCATCTATGCACAGAAATAAACCAATATGTGAAACATGTCTGGTTAGATCTGAACAGATGGAACCAAAATACAGTTTTTAATCTGTTTACCAACCACATTATTATTTACACATCAAGAAAATCTTTGACATCTTGTAGTTCTTAAAAGGAAAATGCCACAGCACAACCATCATTTCAGTCTATAGGAGACTGCAAACACCCTCTCGGAATATTAGTCCTGGTTTGTGCGACATTATTTCCTTATTGCATCATTCACAGAGCAAGATGTCATTCATCTCACACAATTCCCCTTCAAGGATCCACTTGAGTATTTGTCCATCTGATACTGAGTCTTGCACAGGTTTATATCTAGATACAGTTTTTACAGATGTCATTCTGTACATATATTCACATCAGAAATAAAGGTGGATCAGGTGACAGTCTTCAGGTTTGATATCTGCTCAGAGAAACACAATAGAAGGACCCCCTTTCAAGAAATTCACAAATGTCATATTTGAAAATGCAGGTTATGTACACAGCAGTAAACAGAATTGGATAACATGCTATTTGTTCAAATTACTACAATTTGTAGCAAGCAGACATTTTGTGCATAAAGTAGCAACGAATGACTTATAGTTTCTAAGCCATCACATTTTGAATTTTCACAGAACTGTACACTTATGATGTGTAATGATCTTATTGCAATAGTTGCTTCTCTGTTTTTGTCAGGAACTGTTTCTAATGTGAAGTTTAATTACTCATAATTTCGATGCTTTCAACCAGGACAAGGGTGCATGAGTGACACAAAACTGGAAAATATTCTTCATATATTCTTGCAAAGGAACCATATGAGTGTCCGTATTCATCACCGTGAAATAGATCAGGGATTGCCAGCCCAAGATTCCATATTTACAACACTTTCAATGTTTGTGGGCATATCTTTGCATACCTTGAATCACAATCTGTCTGTCACCACAAAAAGTACCCAGAAAGTTGTGTTTATATTAGTCATTGCATTTGGGGCTGGCAATGTCCCCTGAACACTTCATCTACAGATGATTGAGCCATCTTGTGAGCAACTCAACCAGCTACAAATGAGGTCACCGTTGGAAGACTTGTGTGATGAGGAGAACAAAAAACAACAGGGCTGCGGAGGATGTTGAGTGAAGGCAACTGGCGCCATCGGTTGCTCGGTAAAAGTTTTGACCCTCTGAAATGTAAAGTTCCATCATAAGAATATAAATAAAATTCTACCTTAAAACAGACAAGAAATATTCATAATTGTAACTTTCATCATATTGCAGTGTCATATCCTGTCGCCATGTAAACGATACCTACATTATATTCAACAAGAACTCTTGTGACCCAAGCAACGGTACTCCCCTACAGAAAACCACTGAATACATGTATGCAGAATATACAAGGTATGTACATTAATATATTGCCATGTTTGCCTTTATCATCAAATTGGTCTTACACACCTTGCAGTATAACATATCACATGCACATTTATTTATGTCATTTGGTGTACGTTAGATAGAATTGGTATGTTTCAGATGGACATAGCAGATTTTTCACATTAAGTACTGACATGTGTTTTTTTCAACTCAAACTGAGGCTGAACCTGTGTCACATTGGTACTGAATATTATTCATATTTCCATGCAATCAGTCACAATGAGCTTGTACTTTGGGTCTCAGTATATCCCTATCAAACATTGAGTTGTATTCGCTCAGTATATTTGCTCTTGATACAAGTTGGTGACTGTTTACAATATCAACACTAACATAGATAAGGGTCCATCATCAGGTTGTTGTAATGTCAGGCATTTTGAATTAGAGGAGTAATTCCAAATGCCTGACACTGCAACAGCCTGATGGCCACTACACCACTCATGGTACACAGAATACACACTGTCAAAATGCTGAACAGGCTATGGAGTCAAATGAAGTACATTCCCAGTGTCAACTCATGCAAAAACACAAATCATGCAAACATCAATAAACATACAGCTCATAGTACACCATATCAAATCTAAAACAATCTAGAAATGCCTCCCAAGCCAGCAGAACTCTCTCCTGTCACGCCAAGGGAGATTATTTGTGTAGCTGAACACATTCAAGCAAACACTGAGCATGTATATCCTTTTATTCTTAGAAACACTGACACTGATGTGTGAGCGACATGTCTTCTTGTCTGGTGGCTGTTCCAATGACTCTGATATTCGTTTGTTTCTTGTTTTGTGACAAGATGTTTTACACAGCACCACATGACCGAGGTCGGCACATTGATACAATATCTGATGTCAATAGCCCCAGTTGTATTGATTATTGAATCGTCAATGTGACAAAACAGATGAAACATTTCTTGACACTTAAAGGTTAAAGTTCATGACATATTAATATCTAGCTGAATAATTCATAACCTAAACCAACAGTTGAGTTAGTGATGATCTACCTGCACAAGCAATCTTTCAAATGTTTATTTTAAATCTTACATTTGACGCACATTAACTCACATGTAGAATATGTGGAACTTGTCACATTTCAAAACTTGTTGATCCACTGAGATGGTCAAATACTTTCAATAATCTTCGATAGTTCCTATATTTATTAACATCTGTAACTATTCCGTTGATTTTGAATATCGCCAAAGCTGGTGAAGATGTGGCACAATGTCTGATCAAACACATACTGTTCATTCACATGGTTTTCAGCGCAAACGAATGATTTGGAAACACTGTTCCCAGCAAAGTCAGAGGCAAAGCAATTGTCCATGCTCATGTTAACATCATCACGTAGCACATACCAGTTGGGCACGTGCTCCTCCACATGATATGAAGGGAGACCAGCCAAGCCTTGATCACGCAGTAGAACACTGACTATCTAGATCTAAAACGGACAACGTTAGACAAGGGCTTTGGAACTAAACTAAGGTGGTAACAATGCTTACCTGGCCATTGCGTTTTCACCAATAAAGACTCGCTACTAGCCGTGTCACCTAATCGGTTTCGGGCTACGACACGAACTTCATACTTTGAGCCTGGGGCTAGATTATTAATCATTGTCCACGGTTTACGCCACTCAGAATCAGTGCTCTTCCAAGTATTATCTCCTGATCAACCAATCACAGCAAGGCAGCAGGGAAAGTAGGCGGGAAAACGAGAGAAAAAAGACGTAAGATGTGGAAAAAGTGACAGAATAAAGAATGAGAAATCATGAAAATTCATATATCTTCTATAAAAACAATGTAACCAAAGAGCCTAAAACTCATCTCCATTGGACAATAAATGGAAATATTGAATCTTCTTTAAAACAATAAGACCCAAAAGTGTTGTAATCTTTCTGAAAAATGCACTTTTTAAAACAGCAGTGTCCTTAAATTTGTTGAATGAAGTATATCAAGGCACATTTTTAAAATCAGCCCAAAGCACGTCTTTTTCAGTGTGACACAGTATTATGACCTGTAAAACATCAATACTGTATTCAGAGGCAGGTACAGGCTGTTTGTTGTTGTTTTCAAACTTATGTAAAAAACATAGTAACCCACTTAAAATAAAATTGATAACCCCCAATCTGATCTCTGAATTAAACATCAACAAGAAATCAAGATTGAAACTGAAATGTTACGTTATTAAGAATCCCTTAAAGACTTGTGGACAACTGAGAATAAGAAACCAAGACAACCAATCCATACCATAGCGCCTGTACTGGAGGGTCAAATGCAGGTCTTTCTTGTGCAAGCTGTGAGCAGTAGCCCAAGAGAAGTTAGCACTGGCTGGGTGCACGGCTGACAGTAATGGCTTTGGTACTACAGGTACTGAAGATGACAGGAAGACAGAATGAAAGAATGTGACACAGAATGTATTGAGCTAGCTGTGCTGGTACATGGGCAGGGTATTTAGTAGTCAGGTCTTTGGTTGATAAGCATCTAAGCCTTCTTATTGGTGCGGCTCTTTACATTTAACTGATTGTTGTCCAGCAATGTGTAATTCATGTTGTTTCCAAGGTGTTGTTTTTTCCTACATAGAATCTTGAATCACTGAATCTGAGACATGGATGTAACATGCCAGCTTGTTTCTACACAAATACTGAAATTGCTGGGAAATATTTTTTCTTGCTTTTATTCATTTTGCTACATACTTGACATGTTTTCATGTTTTAAACTATAGTTAAAACCACTGAAATTCTGAAATCAAGTTGTAAGTTTGCCACTATCTGCTCCCTTTGTTGTAAAACAGTTGAGTAACAATGGTTAGCTGTTTGCTTCCATATCATATATATCACATATGTCATCCTTACTTAAAACTTGTTGAAAAATTCAAAGAGGAGTAATTTGTATTTTAAAAAAAATGAAAACTAGATACATCAGATCTGTCTCTCATTCTTCTGTAGAGTGAATGAATCTCATCTAACCAAACTGGTCCACCTATTTTGCTTTTGTTTCAACACAGAGAATTCCTTTATGAATGTAAAGACCTTCTTAAAAACATAGCACCCACTTATCAGTCATGTGGTGTACAAATGACATAAATGTTTCCCAAACCTACAGGTTATATGACTGGTTAAAAGAGCACTATTACAACTGCTACCTATTGCAGTCCAATATATGTTTGTATGGTAACCAGGAGCAGTGCAATTACAGTAGCATAGTAGATAGAGTGTATCTTCCAAAGCATCAGTTCAGTCATTGGTTGAGATTATTGGTGCACCTCCATTTTCACCAACTCTATTTTTGTCTTTAAATAACTTGTCTGAACCCCCATACTGTAATATTTCCTAGGAGTGGGATGTGTCTTGTGAGCAATATTTCAAGGATGCACCCTGATACAGATTGCTTAGATTGATGACTAGAGTATAGAAGACATGGTCTGCCTCGTCCACAGACGATTAGAACTTTTATGTTCTGGAACTCGTGACTCAGATGGTCCATTGGTTGGTAATCTGACAGTTCCAGACAGACATATTTACCCATTATGTTATGTACGACAATATTTCCTACAAGAGTCAAAGATGACCATGAATACCAGTATTTCCTACAAGAGTCCAAGATGACCAGTGTCTCAGACCATGAACACCAATATAGTTCCTTCTGTACAATGATCAGTCCCCTGTGTGGACCAGTGTCCCAGATCATGAACACCAATTGGGTTTCTTCTGTACAATGATCAGTCCATTGTGTGGATCAGTGTCCCAGATCATGAACACCAATATAGTTCCTTCTGTACAATGATCAGTCCCCTGTGTGGACCAGTGTCCCAGATCATGAACACCAATGTGTTTCCTTCTGTACAATGATCAGTCCCATGTGTGGACCAGTGTCCCAGATCATGAACACCAATGTGGTTCCTTCTGTACAGCACTTGAAATACCTGCCTGCCAGACCACCCAGGACAGGTTATTTTCAACACGGACTGACAGATTCTCAAATTCACCTGCCCAACGGTCAGGTTAAAATTTAGACATCGATGTATATTAGTACTTTTGTGGGCAGGTAAGTGGCAAGTTTGACATCTAACCAGCACTGTAGTCTGGCCAAAATCTTTGGGAGTTTCATACCCTGTTCTGGACCAGAGTCCCAGTTCATGAACACCAATGTGGTTCCTTCAGAAAAGATCAGTCCCCTGTGTGGACCAATATAGTTCAGTATGGTGCAAGTTTGTCTGTAAAGCCCAAAACATCTGCTGCACCAAGTGTGTTGTTATCCGTTCTGCACAAGGACAAGCCAACTTCAGATTCTGTGTATCTTCTGTACAATAATACTTCCACTGAGTTTCCCAAATGATGAGCTTAGTTGTATTCCTCATGATGGAAGAAGGGAAGAAGTCAAACAGAAATTGATACGGTACCACTGAAGTCTGACAGAAACACCACCACTGTGTTGAAGATGATGTCTGTAGCCTAGTCCTCATTGGCAAGAACATCTGTGTAGTCCTTCTGCACAGGAACACCTGAGTAGTCCTTCTATAGAAAACCATCCCTGTAGTCAAGAACAACTCGTTAGTCCTTATATACAGGAACACCTTTGTAGTCCTTCTAAATAGGAACACCTGTGAAATTCTTACATTCAGGAACACCTGTGCACTCCTGTACAAGAAAACATGTCTATTCCTTCTGTACAAGAACACTTGTACATTCCTTCCATACAGGGACACCTCATTTACTCCTGTACAAGAACACATGTCTATACCTTTTGTACAAGAACACCTGTGTACTCTCTTCTATACAAGAACACTTGGGTTGTCCTTCCACACAAGAACACCTCTGTAGACTGCCTGTACAAAACATATCGGATGTTCTTCTGTCCAAGTCTGTGTAGTCTTTCTGTTGAAGAACACCTGTGTAGTCCTTCTGTACAAGAACACCTGTGTAGTCCTTCTGTACAAGAACACCTGTGTAGTCCTTCTGTACAAGAACACCTGTGT